GAATTCTGTTCAATTCTGCATTAAAAGAACTAAGATTAACATCCTGGATGTCTATGTATGCAGCCTATAATTATTTCTTTTTTATTTTTACCAGCATCAATCTGGGCCCAGCCAGATTCAATTTTTTCGATTTGAAATTGTATGTCAGGTCTAGGTATTGATTTTATGGCATTGGCAATATAGAGTGCGCCACCGCCTGCATTAGTTTTTGAGTTAGTATGAAAGAAGTTATAATTTTTAATATCTACATTCGAACATGATTCCTCGTTTAGTTTTGTTTCAATAATTCCTAATATGTTTGGTGTATATTCAAGAGAGCATAATATATCTTCTAAGAAATTTAGATTTTTCGGTAGACTTCTTATGTTACAGTGAAGGATTGGCAGAGAATTTGGCGTGATTTGACATGTTGTTTTAAGTTTCTTAATCGAGTAATAATCAGAGCAAGGATTACATAGCATATGATCAGGATCAGATTCATCTGACTTATCTGGGTTTAAAAACAAATCATATAAATCAAAATTATTAATTTTCCTTTCACACTGGCTACCGAACAATGATTTAAATTCTTTATCAGATAGTGAGTAAAATGGAAAATTACTTACTGTGTTAGCCATCAAGAAGAATTATGTAGTGATAATTAGTATAGGTAATCATGCGATGGCGAGTACAATTAGGGAATAATAAATATTAATAAATATTAAACTGTTAAACATGCCGCGTCAGTGATATCATACTCATTGTGCAACATTTTTAAATGCTCAATAGCAAATCGTATATTTCCAGGCGATTGGAAAATTGCTAAGTCACTTCAAGTTAAGTCACTTCATAAAGGATATGCAACTTAAATAATTACAAGTGCTGTGAGTACAATCTTTGAGCGAATAGTTTTTGATCAATACATACCATATTGAAAGTGGCCTAGGCCTAACATATATGATAAACAATCTGGATATAGGCGAGTTCTCTCCACCACGAGCGCACTTCTAGATTGGACTACAGAACAGCTAGGCAATATGGATAAAGATCAAATTCTGCAGTGTGGATTTGGCTAAGGCATTTGAAACGGGGATCATGAAATATTTTCGAGCAAACTTCAGATTTATGCAGTTGATTCAATGAGTCTCAATTGGTTTAAATCTTATTCATTTGACCGAAAAGAAAAAATGTAATGTAAATGGTATATTGCAAAGTGAGAGCTCGTTGCTTTGTGCGGTACTTCTTGAATCTATTCTTGGTCCTTTGCTATGTCTTGTTTACATTAATTAACTTCCTTTTTGTCTGTAACATTCTACAGCACGAATGCATGCGGATGATACTAATATAACTACAACGGGAAAGTCGATAAAGGTAATATTAATAGCAATGGGAAACAATGCAGATATTGAAAATATTCATGTATGGCTCGAAGCAAATAAACTTAACCTAAATGTAATAAAAACAACAGGTGGGAAATTTGTCGGAATATACGCGAGCAAAATGAACCACGCAATTGCGTGTAATACACGCAACGCGTGTAATACACGCAACGCGTGTAATACACGCAACGCGTGTAATACACGCAACGCGTGTAATACACGCAACGCGTGTTTACAAAAAGGAGCAATTGTGTAAATATTGCCAAATGTTTGGTACAAAATAAATTACAGTTCTATGTTGAAAATGGACATGATCTAAATTAAACATACAGAATTTTTTAGTGACGCTCTATTTCAGTACCCTGTCATTGTTCCTGGTGTGCTGCCCGTGTGCATTCGATCTGAAACAGTTGCTACTTTGCTGTCGAAACATTTCGAATGTTTACATGAAAATAGAGACAAGTCATGCATTTTATAACCTCTTAAACTTATGAGCCCCTGTTTTTACGCTTACACTTAATATATCAAATAAAAATATATGAAACAGAGAACATTTTTGGAAAGTTTGATCGTGAGGCCACTGCCAGTTTTTAAAATATCTTCATTTCTTTTCTGGTCATCACCAAAATTACACTGAAGACGGGCTGGAATATACAACAAACTTTGAATCTCGTCAAGTACACAAATATTTAACGTGTAACCAAAATATGCTCATGAAATGGAAATTAAGAGCTAAATTTTCAAACTAGACCCTTCGCGAGACCCGTTTTCATGACGGAAGTTCGAATTCACCTTTCGGCCTTTCATTCTTGGCAAAAATTTGACCACAAAACGTGCGAAGCGACTGGGTCTCAAAGACTTAGCTAAAACATTGTGAGCCCCTATTTTTCTGACGAAATGTTTGATATCTGCAAACGTCGAAAAGGTTTTTCTTTTAATTTAGCTATATTTGAAATTGAGGCCACGGGCTATTTTTAAGCTTGTATTTTGAATATAAAGATATTATCTTGGTATTATCATTCTTGGTATAAAATATATTATCCTTCATTTCAAACAAACTATATGATTGTGCATTTCGCCATTTGGGATATGCATATCGATCGTTGGATATGCGTGACGTCACAACCAGGGTAACATTATTTTGCATCGTGAGCAATTCTTAGACCATTTGAATTATAAATCCTATTTTTTACTATTGCCTATTCCAAAATCAAAGCACAAGCTGTGTATAAACTTTCCGCTGACAATATTTTTATTATGAAGTTTCTACCCTGGTTATGACGTCATTTAATTAAATCTAATTATAAAACAAGACGGCTGATGGCAGGATATTTCAGTTCCAAATATCTCAAACGCTCAGATAGTTTCGGAGGAGTTGTAAAAATGATTTGTAAATAATCTTAACATTCTTTCAAATTAGGCATACATAATTTTTGCCTTCCCCTATAGTTCATGACAATTCCTATATTAATAGAATAACCCCGACAGTAATGAACATTACTTTATTGAGTGAATATCTACATGAAAGTCTGAAAAGACTAAAGAGAAATAAAGCATGCTGCTCTGATAATCTTTCTCCTAAGTATCGTGCAGGTGCATTGGTGCCATCTTTAATGTCCGTTTTTGAAGTCAGCAGAGAGACCAACATTGTTCCAAAAACTTGGAAATGTGCGAAAAAGGACGATGTTACTGATAAAAAAATTATCAGCCAGTGTCTTTGTTATGTATTCCTTGGAAATTAGTGGAATCTAATGTAGCGTCGACTATTAATTACCTCGCATGTCGCTGACCACGGTCTGGCACACAGCAGACAGTGGGCATAATTTTATAGGAAAGGTCACTCTACAGAGCTTCTGTTAGTGAAAATGGTAGAAAATTGGAGGAAAGCACTTGACGGTCGTAAATTGGTCGGGATTGTTTTTGTGAATTTTAGAAAGACATTTGACTTTATATTTCATTTTGTGCTAATGCAAAAACTACAAAATCTCGGTATTTCAGGCGACCTTTGGTTATAGATTGACGATTATTTGACGGACTGCTCATACTTTACAGTAATAAATAGGCAAGAATCACAATACAGGAAAGTAAAATTCGATGTTCCTCAAGGATCGGTATTGGGTCCCATTTTGTTTTCTTCATTTTGTAATGATCTCCCAGAGATATGTGAAGATGAAGAAGGTGATCTCTACGTGTATGCGGATGACACAACGATTTATGTGATCGGTTCAGATCCTGATTTGGTGATCTTTGCGTTGAATAAAGTTCTGAAAAATTTTACGAATGGCGTTGCAAGAATCTTTTAATTCCTCATTCAACAGAAACTGAATTTATGTTGCTTGGCGGGGATCGTTTTGTTGGTCCATTGCAGGGCATTATATTGGGCAATTTCTACATTAAACGTGTTAGTTCTTCGAGATGCTTGGATATTGAATTCGATCATAGATTGAAATGGAACATACATGTAACAGAGCTGGTTAAACTATTATTTTCACAAAAGCTTAACTTGCTAAAGTCACTCTCCTTTCTACCCACTAACGAAAAACTACAATTCTACAGTAAATTTATACTACCTTCAATCACATATGGTTTACTTATTTGGGGATCTTGTGGTAAAACATTGTTTAATGAGTTAGAGCGCATACATATCCGTGCACCGAAAATTATCTATGGGCTGGATTGCCAAACATCTTCAGATGTGGTTCTGCGCGAAACAAAGTGGACAACGTTGGAGAAAATGTATTCTCAAGTATTGTTGGTCTTAGTTTTCAAGTGTTATAATGGATATCATCCGGACTCGCTCCAGGCGCTGTTCACTAAATACGTCAGTCAGTACAATTTGCGCAGAAAAATGACAGTTTTGCTGCCTAAACTACGTACTGATTATTTAAGGAAGTCATTGGCTTTTCAAGGAGAAAAAGTATGGAAATGACACAATGGGAGAAAAAAACTTTAGAATTTTTAAAAATCTTGTACGAACTTTAAATTAGGGCTAGTTTAAAAACCAATCGATTTGACTCATTGAATTTAGCTTTTAGTAATTGAGATAAAGTAGGTTTTCAAATTGTAAATAGTCTATACTAACTAACTAACTAACTAACTAACTAACTAACTAACTAACTAACTAACTAACTAACTAACTAACTAACTAACTAACTAACTAACTAACTAACTAACTAACTAACTAACTAACTAACTAACTAACTAACTAACTAACTAACTAAAATGTTTTAGATAACATGTTAATCACACTTCCCAACGACTCCAAAAACTGCAAAATCGCCCAGCTTGAGTTATCATTTGTCAGGGTTATGAAATCAGTTCTAATGATATTAGAAGCCAATTAAAATGGAAAACACTTTCCGAAATACGCATAAACTCATAGTGATGTACAAAACATTAAATAATATGGCCCCTGTCTACTTACGTGACCATTTTAAATTTTTTTCCATAGATCAAGCATATTCTTTTAGAAATAGAGTATTGTGTCTATGTTTGCCAAGAGCACAAACAGAAATTTGAAAGAAATGTTTTGCCTTTTCGGAAGCAAAAGTTTGGAACTGGCTACCAGAAGAAGTAAAATGTTGTAATAGTTTACATATCATTACAAATGTATGTCGTCTCATACCTAAAATTACATGATATAGCTATTCTTAATAATGTCGCCCAATTTGTAAAGCAGTACTGAAGAGTTAACCGAATATAAATGAAGATCTCTCTCTCCCTCTCTCCCTCACTCCGTCTCTCCGTCTCTCCCTCTTTCCCTCCCTCCCTCCCTCACTCCCACATTCCCCACCCTCCAACCCCTGGAGATAACTAGGAAAAAGAATATTAACATGGTCCTTTCGGATCAAGCTCAAGTTTATCGATAAAGCTATTTAGTTTTCTGAACATTTCCATAATGAAACGTCAAATGCTGAATTTCGCATTAAATTTCACCTTATCATCACTTACCTAACATATGTATTATGGAAATTGTGACTTTTGTTATGAGAAGTAATTGCCTATCGGTCTGTAGTTCCAATCATTAAAGAAGTATCTCATCTCATGCCAAAAATTACATAGTTTTTAGTTCTTCAGTTCGTAACAAGAAATCACAGCTAATTGTTTGCTATTATTATCTTCTAGAGTTTTAAATTGTTGCTTGGATACATATCGAGCGACAAGGATGTGTTTGGCCACCCTGCTTATGTCGCCTATACGAACTTTGAAGTACTAAAGATAGCAGTTGAGGATTGGGAATTGCGTGATAAGATTGCAGTAACCGATTTTCTATACGGGCGTTACACCGGACTAGATCCTCTTATGGAGATAACTAAAAGGGGGGATATTAAGATGATGCAATTTATACTTGAAAAGCGCGCTAGTGGAAATCAAACAGATAGGTAAGTTTTTTAAGTTATGAATGTCATTATTTACTTAAGGTAGCTCCCTATACATTAGACGTCATCCTTGCGACCCTGGCGTGGAATCTTCGTCGCCTGGCAAGAATATATTGAAACAAGCAGGCAGACGTTTTTTTTCTTTTTTGTGTGCAAGGAAGACGCTATTTTTTCATTATAATCGTAAATTACTCGAATTCGAGATTATTACCAAATTAAATTCTTCTAGATTATTACAAAATTAAATAAGTTTTGTCTGACGTTTCGGTTTCCTATACGAAAACCATTTTCGAAGACTTGGACGTTTGTTAACGTTTGAAACAAACGTCGAAGTCTTCGAAAATGGTTTTCGTATTGGAAACCGAAACGTCAGGCAAAACTTATTTAATTTTGTAATAATCTAGAAGAAAATAAAACAAACAAAAAATGAATGAACCTGGATTCAAACCGTTTAACAGTATGTAATGTTATTAACTAGTATTAACTTATATTTTAGTCAGTGCTGTGAGTAACTTCGCTATAAGTAACCAATTACATGTATCGTTACATTTTTGAGTAATTGTTCCAGGAACTAGATACTTTTTAAGAAGGTAACTTGTAACTGTAAGCTAGTTACAAAAATTGATGAAAAGTAACGGTAACAATCAGGGCACGAGAGAGCCGTCACTTTTTGCGATGCCCAACTTTTAAGTAATTAAAATTATTAAAAGTTGTTTTATCCTAACTTTCCGCCACGAATGGTTGTCGCTCAATTTTGAACTTTGGACGGTTTCGAATATTTATTATTATGCCGTTGCAGTGCTATATGGCAGAAGCACAATCCGCTAGATTCTCGTTGAACTGAACTGGACTCTGGTGCCTACAAGTGAAACATGTTAGAGGCTCTCTTGCACAGGGTATTAAGTTTTCAGAGTACGTTGCTGCTCGATGTGTGAAAATTTCATTCCTGTTTAATTAAACAATTGTTATGTCCAATTCACTTCGTATTGACAAGTGACATAACTCAATCCATAAATCGTATTCCAATTCAGCTATCGCTTGGCATTAAATAAAGGTTTGATATAATTATCGCAGCTATTTTGTATTTCACAAAACTTCTCTTACTTGTAACTTACAACTTGTATATTAATTTAAAGTAACTTTGTAACTGTAACTGTAACTAGTAAGTTTATTCCATTGTAACTTGTATCGGTAATTAGTTACTTTTCTGATGATGTAACTGTACACGTTCAGCGTTGCCTTTCACAATGCTCAAAATGTTCAACTTGTTGTGTCACGGACTGTAATGATGCCTTGAATGAACTGTCGCCGAAATTTTTGTAACTCCTCTCATACAACTCAATTCGCAAGTGTTTCCTTATCTGCTTTATCTAAGAAAAGGAGGTAAGAATAACACCGCGGAAAAACGTCTCAAAGAACTCAAAATGGAAGCGACAAGGAACGACTTTCGATGTTTTGCCTTTTCTGTAAAAATACAAGCGGAATAATGAATGCGATAACCGAAAAACTATAGAAATAAGTTTAGTCTGCATGTGCAAGAAGTAGTATTATGCAAGAAAATGTACCAAAGGTGAATGTCGATAAATTTTTGGTATAAAAAGTTATTTAACTGAATCATACAAAATACATTTCGTAGGTTCATATGATCCATATTTTTCTCAATAACTTTTTTTGCGCAACATGTATAATTTTTGCGTTGACTTTATTTCAGGGTAATGATTTACTCTACAATTTAAGGGTGTGGAAATTGTTAACAATTTGATAGTTTGTTTAACTTTCGTATCTTAATTTCAAATTCGGTATTCGACAATTTTTCAAGAAATGTTCACATGCCTCCAATAATTTTTTTTCAGGTCTAAACAATAATTTTTAATCTAAATTCTATTTCTTTTTAGATTTTAAATGTTAGAAAACGTTTTATTAATATCTAAACTAGGCGTATAGTTTTTGTTTGTTTCAATTACCTTAAATATTTAAATAGCCATGTTTTTGTTAAGAATTTGGCATTTAAATATCCGCCATTTTTTCCAGTACACCCGCATGCACAGACGTTTTTCCGCGTTGTTGGTACGAATTGTTCAGTCATTCAAACTGATAGTTGAATGTTTTAAAACGTTTTCAAGCAGATTTTAGTAACGAAAACAAATTTAAAGAAAATTTTGATTAATAGAATACATATAGCAGCGTCTTTATTATTAGAATTTTCAAAATTAGTCCTTTACTTTCATGTCAAACAAGTCAGAAATATCTGTTTTCATATGTTAGCCAAAATAAATAAAAATTACTAAAAACAACTACAAATGTCGACCGCTTTGTCGAAGTGTTTGCGAAGCCAAGTATTTATTTAACACTATTTGTACCGGGGTGCACACAATGAGCGCACCCCTATAAATATTTATCCGTCATTCCTGAACAAATGATCCCATTTGCCTGTGCTTTCGTGATTCTAATATTTTTCCTCTGCCGTCATGACTGCGAAAAATTTTTTTCGGAAAATTCAAAGCTATCCGGACGTTTACCGAGATTTGTCAAACAAGTTGTCGGGGCCAAAAATGGGAAAATGTGGGTTGGACAGTATTTTTTGGCTGAATCACTTCCCAGGACATAAATAACATAATATAATTAGAGAACATGTAAAGATGGATTATTACACAAAATTTGCAAAGTAAAATATCCATAATATATTATATAAAATAGTAAAATGGAGTATAACATATAAGTATAGCGTACTATACAATTCTTTATATATAATATAAAATATTTATTTATAATATTTTTATATATTCAAACACAAATATTTCTTTGTACCTTCAAGGCATAACATCTCCCTGTCTTTCTGCATGGATTGTAAAATAACTGGATAGGAAACTTCTGACGTCACTGGCCGCAACCTTGTTGAAAAACGTGACGTCACGCATATTGCAAATATTACCAAAATTCTCGGCATTTTTGTTGTTTTGCTATATTTTCCACACTAAAAGGGTGATATTGAAGCATAAACTGGTCTAATTGTTTTAAAAGCATGCCTAAGCCACGACAAAGTATTCAAGGTAAATGTTTTTCGTCTTTGTTTTGTATTTTTTTACATTTGTAGCTACGAAATTGGCGTCACAAATTTTAACGAAATTTGTGATGTATTTTTCACTGTTTAGTGCTTGAAATATTTGCTAAAATTGACTGGGAATACCTAGAGTTTTCATCGTAGAATGGCTTGGTTAAATTTATTTGCTCTCTTATATTTATTTGCTCTTTCTAAATTGTTTAGCTGTATTATTGCTAAACATTCCGTTTTTGAGAATTTGGTTTTCAACTAGGTTAAGACATCCAACCACGCCATCAGCCCATTGAAAACATTAGGTCACGTCAGCTAGTTTC